ACTGATGCATGTGCCACAAAAGTAGACACTTGTCACTAAAGTGGCTAGGAAAGAAAGGAGGGACTCACTAAACAGAGCCCATGGCAACAAAATGTGAAGTCACTTAAGCGATGCTAGGGCTGCTTAACCGACATTTCTCGTGCTACAAAAGCTCGCTAAAGCTTTGGCCTTGGCCACTAAAGTGATGTTTGCTTAAGTGATGTTTGCTTAAGCGAGCCAACACTAAAGTGATGTTTGCTTAAGCGAGCCAAGGCCACTAAAGTGGCTGCTAACTATCCTAGCCTAATAAAGTGAATCCCAGGCAACTTAAGTGTAGGTCGCTAAAGAGACGCCTAGGGCGCAAAAGCATGGGCACCAACATCAGGCACTAATAAAATTGTCACTACCCAAGGTAGCCCCTACGCATAAAATAACGTATAAGACCCTGAAAGACCCCATACAAACCACTTAGCATTCATCATTCAAGATAATAGAGTATAAAAGATTTAAAAGGCAGTTTCAACATATAAATGTTTTATAAAGAAAAGCAAAAGTCTAAACATCGTCTCAAAGCCATCTAGTACATAAGATTGATCGGGGCGTAGCCCGTACATCAAGTTGCAAAATAAAAAGTAAAGACAAAAAAAAAATCAAGCTCGGTCCTCTGGTTATGAGGACTAACCAATCTTCAATGCCTCTATATGAGATCCCTAGCCACGAAAGTGCGAATTTGTATGGTTAGGACCCTACATTTGGGAAAATGTAGGCAAGAGTATGTGTTAGTGAAAATTTGTACCAAGTATGATAGCCATGCATAAAACATTTGAAAACATGCTTAAAAAAGGGTATCTTCATGGATGCAATGGCCAAGCTAAAACATGATATGAAAGGAACTAGAAGACAAGTCATAAAATATGGTCAATGCAAATAGACATTTTAAAACACATGTGAGATACTTCTTGAAGTAACCTTAATTCATTATTGTGGGAGATTTACCTTTAACTGGCATATAAGACCATGTGAGTTATCAACATGGAATCTGGTGTCTACCCCACACCGAAAAGGGGAGTCTTACTTGCCAAGTAAGACCATGAACTTCTAGCTTATATGGATCAACTAGCTAATGTCTATCTAAGACAATCATCCTATGGAGGGACATAGTATGGGATAAGGAGATTGCTACTAGAAACCCAACCTCTACTAACGAGAGAGCTTCCATCTCAATATCCTCTCGGTGCTAAGCGTAAATCCCACTGAATAGCCATTTTCTTAACGTGTCTTTAATAACCATGGAAGGGCATGCCATCTTGCCAATCCAAACTGAGTCATATGTCATCCATGGAATGGTAATATCAAGTAACAAATCCAAGCTAGTTTTCATTAGAATAGCGAGTTCATGTTAATCATCATAAAATCATGTACGTACCTCAATTCATGCTTGATAGATCATAAAACAATCAAATAAATTAATATTTAAAAGAACCCATGACATGGAAGAAAACCCATGAAGGAAAGGGCTCCATGGATGACAATTATCATACCACAATGCCAAAATCTTGACTTTAATGGTGAAATTGGAGGCTTGACTTGAAACTCTAGGTTGACTCCTTCTTCTTCAAGCTTTATAGAGTGAGAAATATTTTGGAGAGGAAGACTTGTTCTTCTTTTAGGAATTTGAGAGAATGATTTCAATTGGGAAAATTTGGGAGTAAAAGTACATATATAGGGATTTAGGTGAAGGGTAAAACGACCTAGTATTAGGCTAGAATAATTAGGAGAAGACCTAAAATCCCCTGAGACTATAACTGCCGACACCCGATGACGGCACGACCTACGATTCATTGGTTAGAATATGGACCGTACTGGTTGGCCGTCGTTTGGGTCAGAGATTAGATTTTTCAACCTTAAATGACAGGGCCCACCCACGGGTTGTGGTCCAAACGACAGGCCGTGGTTTCCGACCGCGGGTCTCAACTTTTGACCTTATAATTCCTCTAAGTCTGGGACTCACGTATGAACCCTATTTATGGCTCGTGCATTGAATGACGGACCATCCTGATGAACCGTTAAAAAAGTAGTGAAACTTGGCCTTCTGGAAAAATTCTAACTCACCACCCACGCCACCACCAACGGGCCGTCGTCCCACTTACGGACCGTAGGTGGTGTCGTCTGTGCTGGCAACATGTTTGTGGAAAAACTGAAATTTTTCCTTTCTAGAATCCGAAGAGTTACAAAAATCCAGTTAAGCCCCTCGGGCACCACTCCAGTGCTTGGGATTGGTTCGAACTACCGTGGATGCAAACGAGAAATGCAACTTCACAAATTTTGAAATTCCAAACTCAATGGAATAGTCAAAACTTCCAACCGAGGTTGTCTTGTCAACAAGTGGATCCGACGCCCAGGCTCTATTTTAAGCTTCATTCTATAAGGGGCTCGAAATTAGCCCAAAAGCCTCGAGATCCACACAGAAGGTTGTTCCAGAAAAAACTCAATGTTCTGGAGCTAACGGAACCATCTTAAATTTATTTTGAGGTCGTCTTCCTCAACTTTTAACAAAAATCAACCATTCAAGTTTAAAAAGTAAAAACTTGCATAATGATCAAATGAAAGATCAAGTGACCAAACTGTCAGTCCCAGAAAGTCATAAATGACTTAGGGTCTTTTGAATGCTCTAAATTATGAAAAGGGGGAATTTGCACAAAAATGACCTTGAGGGCATTTCAAGTAGGCAGAAGCCAAGAGCCTAGGAATAGAAACTAGTAGAAAAGTAGAGGTCATGGCTATCCTAGTCCCCTAAGATACTGTTTCGCACATATGATTCATAATTTACTCTTTTAAACTAACTTGATCAGTTTAATAAATATCATGCAAGATGTATGGAAAGTACATTGGGAAATTACTTAAAGGGTGGAGGAAATGAGAACAATAATGTCTACTCGAGGAGCACAAATATACCACACTGTCCAAGAGATAAATTAACTAGCAAACATCCTAGAAAACAAAACAATAAAACTATATAGGCTACAACAATTTCACACATTACAAAACGTACCAACCATTTGAATAAAGATATTGAAGACAAATAAAGCAAAACTACCATCAATGAAAATTGAAACATGCAAAATCAAGTAACAATAACTCATGAAACATGAAAATGTATCAAGAAAAAGATATAATAGGGTACAGAACAAACATATTTGTAGAATATGTCATCTTATCACATGAATAAAAATCGTTAAAATTCTAGCTAGACTAGTCTACTCGAGCTATCAAAAAGAAACTTCTAAAATAACAAAGGACTATAGGGTTGTATAAGTTCTTATAGCTTGAAATTTGAAAAGAAAAAACCCATAATAATTGAGGAGTGTAAGAACATCTTCCAGATGATCCCCAACTAACACACCATAAATATATCACACAGCCAGAAGGTGAAGTGCAAGTCGCACGTCAAAAGAAAAAAACATGACTCATTGAAGGATCTGCAAACCCTTGACAATGCCCTTTTTCAGATTCATTCTTCAGTGGACTCAACCTAACCACCTATGTATGCTACAACCATGAAATGAAAGGATTTAATCAAAAGTACTATCGGATGAAAAAAGGAACAAAGGGAAATACCTACTTTGGAACAATGGAGGCTTGATGTAGCGCTTAACAATAAAATAATCATTTGAACCGAGTTGGAAGATTACCCATAGGAGGAGATGAAAAATTGGCAGCTCCAAAGACTTCACTCCAAAAATATTTTCGAGTCCTTTCAAACCACAAGAGATGAGTGTTAGTTACTCTTCTGATAGACCAACACTCCCCTTATCTTAGAGTATTTAGGATGGATCAACTTCTTGCTTCAGGACTTTTCTTCACCTTTAGTTTCTTTTATAAAAAAAAATTAAAATATCTTTTGTTTTGGTCCATTGGAATAGGCAAATTTTGATTTAATTTCTCCTAGGTTGAACCGATAAAAAAACCGTTGAAGTTTTATTTCGTGCACACCTAAACTCTATATTGGTTTAATTACCCTCCCCAACCTGATATTCTATTAGTCACGACCTCTTGGATGCCAACAATCCATAGAAGTGTGACAGACACACTGCCACCTGTATTTTCTTATTCGTGTATAACTTTTTAGAATAAAAAATATATTTTAAGCTTTTTAAGTTCGCCAAATTATTTAAATCATCTTTTTAAGAACAAATTTTATCACAAAACAGAAATATATGTTTTAATTATATTTTTTAGCAACAATAAAGACATTCTAATCATTTGATTTTTACAAATTTTAATTATAAAATTCCAAAAAAATATTTTACAATTTTTTCTTGATAAAAGAATGATCCATAGGTGATGTAAACTCATTGCAATAAAATACGTTGTTTGAACTTCATTATTCTTTTAAAATCTTTTTTTATTATGATAAAATAACTAATTTAGATCGAAAAGAGAAGATATATATTTGAAAGAAATAATTATTTTATCTAAAGAAAAAAAATTGAGATAAAATATATATAGAATATCTATTAAAAACAAAGAGTAATACTATTAGAAAAAGTATCTCATTATATTAGTTACGTGATAATGAATAGTTGAAAAAAATCCTACTTGAAAGCTAAGCTTTCAATGTTTCTCGTCTCCAATACGCCTAAGAGAGAACGTAATCACTCTATTTGCCACATCAAAATTTATGACACTATCGGATTGTCAAGTTCATAATGGGAAATTAAGCTAATGTAATTTTAAGGTGTGCGATGAAAATAAATTGCTAGTTCAAGAAAGTTGTAAGATATAAAATGGCCAACGGACAAATTTCTTAATAAAAAAATTTAAACACATAAAATTATTTGAAAAATAATAATACTATATAAAGTGATATTATTATTAATCAAGTATTTTGAATGTTCCTTATTGAAAACAAACGTATGGAAAATAATGAATACCGTGTTGATTGCGCAGATATGTGCTTAGAAATAGAGAATGAGATAACAAGAAACTAGAATTGTAATAAGAAATTAGATAAAGGAAATGCCCTTATTGCAATCCTTTTAGAGGGATTGCAATAAATATAATTTTGTGGAGCAAGTGAAATGGGGAATAAGGCGAGATGGTCAAAATTAAGATCAATGAACTTATTTGGAATATCCCCATTTCATGTGCTCCTTTTTTCAGTGCTCATTTCATTTGTTGATGGAGAGGAATTAATGAATCCATTACGATTGCCTTCTGAACATGACAATCAAGAAATATGTGCCTTAATGATAGACAATGATCATTGTTCGTGTCCAGTTAAATGCTTTCGTCCTGATCCTGTATGTGGGGTTGATGGTAAAACCTATTGGTGTGGTTGCACTGATGCACGTTGTGCTGGTGTACATGTTGCCAAACTAGGTTTTTGTGAGGTTGGGAATGGAGGCTCTGCACCCGTTTCAGGCCAAGTCCTTCTTTTACTTCATATTGTTTGGCTTATATTGCTTGGTATTTTTGGTTTGTTTGGCCTTCTTTGATCATATGTATTTCTTTAGGAAACACAAAAACATTCATTTATTATCTTTCTTCATTCTTCATTTTTCATTTTTTTCTCCTTAACTCATACAGGTTAGATTTATTTTTTGGACAATGTGATTTGTACATCCATTTTTTTTCTCAACATTCCTCCTCTAGGGTAGTATGTTATTAATGTATCTGCTATCTGGGGAAAATTCACGCCTTTCAATTTTAGAATTAAATACAAATTAGATATTTACATTACATTTGTTTGTAACTCAATCTAAATAATATATATTATACTAATCCATTAATGGTTGAAAAATTGTGTCATGTATAAATTTATAAATGAACTTCAATTTGATTAAAACAACAGTAGATCTAACTGAAAGTGATCTTAATTAGCTCATGAGAACAACACACCAATGAATAGTTTTAGTGCACTGCATCCTTCTTCTTTTATGTCTATTATTTTTTGCAATACTATTCCGCGTAAGTTATTCAAACCATCTCCTTTCATGGTTTCTGTGGTCTCTTAGTTAAAAGACAATTTTGAACTCTCAATTTTCTGAGATTTCTTTTAGTTAGTATTAAAAAAATACCTTTGGTATAAACAACATTATAGATATATATTTTTATATCAGATATTTCAGCGTTGCAGCAACAACTAAATTAGTAATATATTTGGCCTCGTGTCAAAAGCTAGTTGATTTTTTACTCTTCAATAAGAATGATAAAGCATTTCTCTAGCTTCAATCCTATAAAGAGTCTATCCCAACAATCAAGCCTGAAAAGAAAAAAAGTAGGATAGAAGTTAATTTTCTATTGAATTGAGTAATCTATGTGGATAGGACGTATCAACACCTTTTGCATCTTGTCATTTGAAAGGAAATATATAAGAATAATATAGTGTTGGGTCCTGAGGATCAAGGATGGCTGAAGATCGAAACCATAATGTGGTTGTATACAATTTCATTTTTTCTTTCTAAATATAGATATGACTTTCTCTTGATGGAATATACCAAGCTAAATCTTCATTTTAGAACAACAACTCATAGAAGTAGGCGACAACTGCTATTAGGGTCAGTCTTTAGGCATTGGATCTCTAAAAAAAGGATTTTCTATCGTTGCATGGGTTCCTTTTTGTATAAAATCGGTTGTGCTCTGGCTCTTCCCATCTATCAGAAGGTTTCCCTTGTGTGGAAGGTTGACTCTGAACTTCAGTCAATTGGATGAATCTCCTTATCTAAGGTTATTTGTATGGCACTCTAAACTCTCTTTCTTACGCGAGAGCACCTTAACTTAATATCTTCATTTCTTATTATTAAGCAGAAGGTACGCTCAGCCTTGATACGTCGCTATTTCTTAATCCTTGCCTCCAGGGATTAATGAGTCGGTTGGCTCTTGGAGTATAGCCTCTCTCGGGGTTAGCAATAAAAGTACACCGGCCCATGTGGGTTCCATTTTTAGTCAAATAGTGAAGGATATTTCATGTATAATGAAAAATAGGGTGGACGGAATCCGTATATGTTGTTCAGGTCAATTAGATGGTCGAGAAATAGCTAAAATTGAATGCAAAAACTATGGAAAAAGATCTTGTGTTGTTCAACGGTTGAAAAGAGATGTCTTGAGTAATCAGAGAAGCAGTTTGATAAACAAATTTGATCTTGACTTATTCAATTAAGGCATTAGTGTTTGTTCTATTATATTTCAAAGATCACATTTTTCGCACTTTATTCAAACAATAGTTGTACCCGTACAAAATTCTACTATTTCTCTGATCTCTATCATTATCTCTATTCCCTTTATCAATTCTCCTATCCAATTTAGGTCTATGAATATATTGGGGAAGGTTTTGATTTTTTGCTCAGCTTGGATCACGATTGAAAACTCTCTGAAAAGGGGAAAATCACAAACGAATCCTCTGACAACTAATGAAGAATTTTTTGAGCTAGGCTCACATCCTTTGAGGATGCAAATTGAATTACGAAAAGAAGGGTTCTATTCAGTGAAGAGTTCCCTAGCTGGAGGGTTTTACACCGACAATAAATGAATGAAATAGTGGAGTCAAGTTTGATTTTATAAGAAAAAACATATCATTTGTGATAGTATCATTTCATGTCTAAAAGTTGGAAACTCTTCAACTCAAGTGTTAAATAATATAAAATAGTCTCTGTCTATAAATGTAGACACATAATTTTTTATTGGACTAAAGGCTTTACACCATTTTAATGTCTAAATATTTTTTTAGGTATAAATTACCTATTTAGATTGTTATTTTTTTAGTAAATTATAATTTGAAAAATATTGAAAAACTAAAATAAAAGAGTCATATTTTAAGAATAGAGTTTTTGCTACTTTTCAAATAAAAAGATTTTTTTAAAAAAAAAATATGTTTCTTATAGGTCAGATTTGAATAAATAATCTATTAATTTTGAAAATTTTTGTGTAAAATTTTATTTTAGTCTACTATTAAGTTTTCTCATATTTTTGTTAGTCCCCAATATTTAGCTAATATTATTATATTACATTTTTGTATATATAAATTTAAAAACAAAAATTGAAAAAAAAAGAAGGAAAAGTCTAAAACTAAAATTGATCTCTCACAACCCCTCACGTGTTACTTAATTTTCTATATAAAAAAAAAAACAACAAACAATCCCATATTACCTTGCATTCCTTTTTTTTTTTTCTAGAAACACATGCACAGGAGGATACACCAAAATAGTTAGAAGGTAAAGTAATAGGATACACCAAAATCTGGAACATTTCGCAAATTTATAAAATATTCATAAAAAGATCAAATTCAAATCATTTTAGGTTGGGAAATACGATACTAGTGACCCTCAAATCGAGTAGAATCAAGGGAGGAATAGATTTGTACCTATATATTTTTTACCAATAAAATCATGTTTCTTTATATTTTATTTGTGATTACAATTTATTTTGTCACTCTAAAATTTGTCGTAAACAAATTATCATGCCCAATGGAACCAAATCTGCCCTTCATCTCTTCTCTCATAAATCAATTTGCAAATAGAAAACCGCAAAGGTGGAAGAATGATTAATACTTCAAGTCTCATCTTTGAGTTTCATCAAGTCTACACTTCGACTAGCCTTGAACCAGGGGGCATTTGTAGACATTGAAATTTTGTAGGACTCTACAAGATGTGTTTAATTCCAGTTGGGACTCTACAAGGTGTGTTCGATTTCAACTAGGATTACTCAATCATAAACCCTAGTTCATGTCGATATAAAGGGTACTATATTCCCTTAAAAGACATCTCGAACATTCCACAAATTCATGAATTATTTATAAAGAGATCAAATCCAAATTAAGATAGAAATATGACACTAACGACCCTCGAATTATATATGAAGATCAAGTCGAAATCATCCTATAGCTAGTTTGAGAAATATGCCATTAACAATCCTCGAATTATGAAAACCAAGTCCAAAAAATCCTAGTTCGGAAAATACGCCACTAATGGCCCTCGAATCATTATAAATCTTATGAGTGAAGAATCAAGGGATCAACAGAATTGTACTCAAATCTATAAAACTATGTTTCTTCAAATTTTATTGGTGATTGCAATTTATTTTTATATCCCTTTAAAATTTTGTTGCAAACAAATTGGCATGTCTAGTGGGACCAAATCTTCCCTTCATCTCTTCTCTCACAAATTTGATGTCACAAAACCCCAAAGGTTGAAGAATGGGTACTTCAAGCCTCATCTTTGAGTTTCAACATGTCTACACTACGACAAGCCTTGAAGCAAGGGCCATTTGTAGACATTGAAATTTTATGGGACTCTACAAAACATGTTCAATTTGAGTTGGGACTTTACAAGGTGTGTTCAATTTTAATAAGGATTCTTGGAGGCTACTCAACCTTTAACTCTAGTCCATGCCTATATAAAAGGGTATTATATTCCCTTGAAAAGACATCTGAAAAATTCCACCACAAATTCATGGAATATTCATAAAGATATCAAAATCTCAAATATTCCGCAAATTCATGGAATATTTATAAATAAATCAAATCCAAATCATCTTAATTCGAGAAATATGTCACTAACGGCCCTCGAATTATAAAGATCAAGGGCAAATCATCCTAGTTTGAGAAAGACGTCACTAACAATCCTCAAATTATGAAAAACAAGTTTGAGAAGTACGCCACTAGTAGCCGTTAAATCATGGATAAATCTTAAGAGAGAGAAGAATCAAGGGATCAACAGAATTGTACTCATAATCTTGATTTATAAAATTATTTTTCTTCTTATTTTATTTGTCATTGCAATTTATTTTTCTGTCACATTAAAATTTGTTGCAAACAGTTAGCACGGAAAAGAGGAAGGAAAATGAAGGAAAAGTTAAAAGAACAAAGAGCAAAATCGAGAAATAAAACCAAAAACAGAGAGTAAAATGATGAGAAAAAAAGGAGTGAGACAAGATTGACGTAGGAAATCTCATTTTTCACATCGGTGGAGGTACTATTTAAAGGGTTGCCACTCGAGGCTCTAGTTGATTCTCAAGACTCGTTGATACATTTTGATGTTGTTTTTCCATTGTACGCAATAGAGACTTTTTTAAACCTTAAAAGGTTCAACAATAAAGGTCAATCCCTTTTATCATATCTTTTATTAATGAACTTACGCATTTGAAATAATATTCTTATTTCATGTTAATATATGAGCTTTAATTTAATCTTTTGGATCACAAAGTAGCTTCATTTTCTTGTTAGATTAGTAAAAAAATCACACCAACTTACTAAGATAATCTTCTAGCTTGTATGCTTATATGCCAATATGTTCTTGCTAAGCCTTTTTTTTTTTGAGTTAAGGTTTTACTCTTAAAATTGAAAGACATGCATTAGCTTATAAATAAAAGGTTACTGTTTGTATATTAGAAAATTTTAGTTTTTGTTTGGTGACTTCTAGGAACACATGTTTTATAATGCTCAAGTTAAGCATCAACTTTGGAGGTACTTTTTCATAATAAGGAAATTTCTTTAAAAAACTCCAAATTATTTTTTGTAG